ATGGGAGTGTAAAAATAAGGATATGGCAATATTAAATGAGGTTGATTTGCATAATACACGCTGTACCTGGGATAAAATGTAACGGGTTGAAGAATTTTCGATTTTCCCGACGGTACTTTGCCGTTTTCACCATTTCCCGAATTTAAATTATCATTTTTTCCTATTCCGTCGACTAAAACGGGTGGTTGTAAGTATAATGTTTGAAGAGGTAATCCGATGGGTTGAAAAATCGGTCCCGTAGTTCCCGGATAAGCTTCGCTCGGTAATATTTTTTCTTTCGACGTAATTAGAGCATTGTATATTTTTGGCACTTTTAATAATTTGGCTGAATGTACATAAGTCGCCATGTTAAGTAATAAAATCAAAAATTCGAATCCCTGGAAATAATAATGGAAAAATTATTGTAACGGATTCATACGTCACCGGAAAAAACGGTTAATGTCGCGCATGCGAATAATAAACGAAAGGAAAGACGTCTTAAATTTTATAATCGCCTGTGAAAAGACGTTTATCATTCTAAAACCAATAAACAAGCATTTGGCAAGTAAAATAATCGATGGATTAATTTTTTAAAAACTACGGACGTAGAATAATTTTAAATTTTTTTTAAAAATAGAAAACAATGTTGCCATAACTCAAGAACAAAAACAAAACAAAACAAAAAGTTATCAATCCTTCAAATATTTTTAAATTGTCATTCGATTGAAAGGTCAAGCCCTCCCACATTTTGCCTATACAAAATGTATTCGTTCGTTCGTTTGTTCGAGAAGCCAACAAACAATTTAAATCCGTGTATACAAACAAGTTAAATAATCTTCCATGTGTCTAGAATACACTAATTAAATAATTGTTGTTTGTTTCGGTGGTTTCTCACTCGTCGTTTGTTATCGTCGTCGACAACAACAACAACAACAACAACGAGGAAACCAACAAACAACTCGGTTGCAAAATAATATATTTATTTTTATTTCAAGGATATTTAACGTTAATAATAAAAGTAATTTTTTTTTTTTTTTTTTTTTTTTTTTTTCAATAAAAATAAATTGAGTCATTAAAAAAATTTTATTTTTCCTTTTCCTTTTTTACGTAAGTACGTATGTACGCGGTTTTTCCATGTATTTTAATCCAGTTGTTCCAGGTTTTTTTTTTTTTTTTTTTTTGTATTTGTAAAAATTTCCACGATTGGGATAATAAAAAACATTTATTGGGTGACATTAACCTTCAAGCTTTCATGTAAAATAACCGCCTCTACCTTAGGCACAATTATTCTTTTTACAAAAAAAAAAAAAAAAAAAAAAAGTTCCAGGTTCAACACAGATTTCAGGTATTATAAAAATTAATTCTAAAATAATCTTAATCTTTTAAATTCAATATTTAAAACGTTTCTAGAACCTCTCTCTCGATTAATAATAATAATAATAATAATTAATGTGTTACGTGGTAAGATTTTGAAATAATTGTAAAATCTATAAATAAAATAAATTTAAAACAATACAAATGTTTTTTTTTTTTTTTTATAAATAAGGTTTTACCTACCTTTAACTGCATGTTGTTGTTCAAGTGGTAGCAGAACTCACTAATCCAGATTCGATGTGGAAATGATATGGCGTAACTTTCAATGGCAATCAACTTTTTATAGTTAAAACAAACTAAACGGTGAAAACCAATTTTCAATACCTATGCCTACTACCCAGTATTCAAAGAAGTCACAGACAATGTCTTCTGACACAAACTGAAACTGAAAAAAAAAAAATTTTTATTTTTTTTAAATTTTAATTCACGGACCTCTTTTTAATATGAGAGAGGTAGAATTTTTTTAATTGACGCATGAGAGTTTATTTTAACATTAAAAAAAAAAAAAATTGTGCAAGAAAACTGGATAATTTATCAAATTTTTTATTTTTTTTTTCCTTTGATCGCTGGAAAATTTTTCTTCCATGTTTTTTTTTTTTTTTTTAAATAAAACCTATCAATCAAATTATGTCTTATCTTCGTCACCACCTTTTCCCTTAACATTAAAATACGATGATGCTGTTTTTCTTTTATTTTCTTTTAGAGAGATAATGTCTCCTATTAAATGCCGGAGGCTGTTTGATATTTACTTACATAATAATAACAGTCAAGGTTACCTGCGCACTCGTCGTATTCACTTTTTTTTTTTCTTTAATAAATTACATAATACTCCATTAACTCTCCGTAATTTTTTAGTCAACCATAAAAATTTTAATATGATTATTATTAAAGAAACCAAATTAATCAAGTAATTTATAAAGTTTGATTGTTGTTACAAAGATTTCATTTAAACATTTTCAAGTTTTTTTTTTTTTTAGGTTCAGTTTTCTCCCTTTTCTCTCTCTCTCTCTCTCTCTTTCTCCCACACGCACACACACACCTTAATCATAATTCCCTACAACGTGTTTTTTATAAAGTTTAAAGATCTGATTTGTATTTCATTCAGGTCAGAAAAAAAAAAAAAAGGTAAAGTTTAAATTGAATATTGGCAACCATTAAGACATTGAGAAGATGAGTATAGTTCGTTTGCCAATGTTTATTAAATACCAAACATTTTCATTAATCATTAAAAATTATGTAATATGCAGTATACAACTAACAATAAAATAATAATAATAATAATAATAATAATAGGGTAGTGACTTTGAGCTTGAAAGTCATACACGTACATACGACGACTTATTGTTATTTAATAAAAATTGTAATGTAAAAAGAAAAAACGTAATAGAAAAAAAGGCCGTGAAAGATTTGACATGTTAGATAACAGAAGATAACGCAATGCGCGTTTTTTAATACATTTACTTTTTACTTAACTTATTATTATTATTATTATTATTATTATTATTATTATTATTATTATTATTATTATTATTATTATTATTATTATAC